CCCTCCTCCTCCACCTCCGACCTGCCCGGCGCGGGCGCGACCTCCTCCTCCTCCTCCTCCTCCTCCTCCTCCTCGGCTGCTTCCTCTCCTCCCGATGCCTGCCCGCTTCCTGGACCCCGGGCCCGCCAGGACAGACACTTCCCCAAACACTTGTTGGGCCTGGGCATGAACTACTGCGTGAGGGTAAGTCCTCAGCCCGCAGGAAGGGGCAGGGGGCAGGGGGCAAGGGGCAGGGGGCAGGGGGCAGGGGGCTCTCCTGGGCCTAGGCCTGCAACAGGACCTGGCCTGGGGGTTCTGGGTTCGAGAGAAAAAGACGCTGGGCTTCGTCCAACAGGAGAAGGGAAGCAAGCTCTTGGCTTCAACCTAAGCAACCCCCTAAAGGGAGTAAGCCTGCGCCCGGGGTGGTGGGGGCTGTGGGTCCAAGACTTGGGCAGGTGGTGCAGTATAAGGGTGTGTATGTGTGTGTGTGTGTGTGTGTGTGACTGGATGGGGTACCTGGTTGGCCCCCCCCCTTGCTAGATTTTTAAGCATTCTGACCAAACAAGAGTGAAGAATTTCAAGTTAGATGAAGTGATTCGGAGCGACTGAGTTACACCGGCCATTTGTATGTCTCCCAAGTGAATATAGTTACTAGGTTTGCCTTACAGGATCGCACGCAAGGGGCTTGGGTTTGTTTTAATTTAAAAAAAGAAAAGAAATTCAACACACACTTCCCAAACCAGAGCTGAGTCCGTCACTAGAGAGACCAAGAGGAGCTACTCTTAGTACTTGACCACACGGAAACCGGTAGACCTGGTCCATGAGCGATGTGCAAAACCAAAGCCCTTCCTGGCCTGGCAGCTGGTCCTTATCTAAAGATCTGGTCCTCACCCAGAGCTCAGAAGCCCAGGGATGTGTATGAAGTAGTAAGAGCAATCATTAATCACTGGAAGCTAGTGTGAGGCTGAGGAAGGCATTTGGAAAACAGGACAGGTGTGTGTGTGTGTGTGTGTGTGTGTGTGTGTGTGTGTGTGAGTGATGTGGGATCCATTCAGAGGGATTCAGGAGAAGGGTATATTTCCATAGAATGATCAGATCTTGATGGTAGGGTGGGGGGTGGAGGAGGTTTGGGGAGGGGAGGGGGAGGGAAGATTCCAGCAGGGAAAAGAATAAGATCAAAGTGGCTTCAGGAAGCATCCACAGAATAGAATAGTGAATGACACACAGAGAGAGAGAGAAAGAGTTCAGAACACAGTGCTCAAGCCAGCATGAGCTGAATAAAGACGAACACAGATCATGGATTGTTGAGGTCAGATGGGGCAGAGGTCCATAGTTCCCCATTGCCAGTAAAGGAAGTTATGAACTTGGAATAGTGACCAAAAACCTTTCTAGGTTTGTAGGTAAGTCTTTTTTGGGGGGAGGGGTGCTGGTAGGGCTTTTATGCCACCTGGGCGCTGTTCCTTCACTTTTTCCATTCACCATAGGCACGCTGCCATTTGGGCTTTTGGGTGGTTAATTACAGACACAAATGTCATACATTTTTCTTTTTTTCCTTCCTTGGGTTGTCTATGAACCATGATCCTTAGATCTCAGACTCCCAAGTAGCTAGGATTACAGGCAGGAGCCACGCGGCTAGAAATCATTTCTTAATGAAAGTAGATTTAGAAAGGTCAGTCCGTTGAGCTTGATGTGGATGGGAGCAGGAAGGGACAGGTGGCTGGGAGGTCAAAGAGGAATTGTTACTTAGCGAGGTGGTGGTGGATGATGATAGAAGGTTGTAAAACATGAAGACTAGACCTGCAGAGTTAAGTCAATGGGGGGAAACAGGGTAAATCAGGAAGTAGAAGAGTTCGTGCTAAGTTTACTTTGGGCGTACTAAATTAATATCTCACGGTGCTAATACGCAGGTAGGCAGCCATGTGAGATTAGCCCTCCGCTGAGATGTCAGACCTGAAGGTACACACATGAATATCAGAACAGGAAAGGGTATCCTGAATGACAGCTAGAATCTCAAGGAAGGTCAAATGATGGGTCCAGGGAGAGCTTAGCAGGCAAGAATTGACAATGGTACCTATAATCTCTAAGAGATAAAGGTGTAGAACTCAGCTCTTATCCACCCCCCACCCCTTCCCCACTCAGTGAGTGGCCTAGACTGGAAATGTTTGGTTGTATCTACTGAAAAAGTAAGTTCCTGGTCTTTCTCTACTTGTCACACTTCAGTGTACACCGTGAGTTGGAGTCACTCTTCAAGCCCAATGCAGATCCTCTACCCTCTGCAGCTGCCTTGATTTCCCTCTTGGGCTTCCCCACACCTCCCCCCTACCCACATATCAGTATAATGTTTAAGCAAAAAAAAAAAAAAGAGTTACTGTGGGATTTCCATTTTCCCACTGGGAAATGCCCTTGCTGGCATTTGAGGTGTTTAATGAGGACACCAGCTGTCTCTTCATAGCAATGGCTACTGACCCCTGTGACACAGATATACACAGGGTATTGCCATTTGTTTGACATATGATGCCAGTTAACAACCTCTCTTACAAGAAACAGCTTAGTGTGTGCGTGCGTGTATGTGCCAATAATGGGGCTTTAACTCAGGACCTTGTACTCTTTCTTTTTTTGTTGGTCGTGGGGCTTGAACTCTGGGCCTGGGCGCTGTCCCTCAGCTCTCTAGCTCAAGGCTAGCGCTCTACCACTTGAGCTACAGCACCACTTCTGGTTTTCTGGTGGTTTATTGGAGATAGGAGTCTCATGGTCTTTCCTGCCCGGGCTGGCTTTGAACCTCGATCCTCAGATCTCAGCCTCCTGAGTAGCTAGGATTACAGGCATGAGCCACCAGCGCCTGGCAGGACCTTGTACTCTTGCTTTGTTTTTTATTCAAGGCTGATGCTCTACCACTTCAGCTACATCTCTATTTCTGACTTTTCGGTGTTCATTGGAGATAAGAGATGCTTAGATTTATTTTTGCTGGCTGGCTTTGAACTTTGATCCTCAGATCTTAGGCTTCTTGACTAGCTAGGATTACAGGTGTGAGCCATTATCACCTGGCTTGAGTTTATTATTGGTAATTTTTAGAGAATCCTAACTTTGAAAGAAGGAAGGATTGAATGTGTCATTACCAAATTCAGTGTCTCTATGGGGGAAAGGGAATCCCAAATAAATAATTTTTTTTAAGGTTATACATGTGAGGTCAAAGACATAGTGAGTTCTGGATGCAAGTCTCTCATGCCCCATTCTTTGCTTACTTTGAGATGTGAACCAGATTTTTTAAAAAATCAAATACCAACCTACTAATTTACACTGAAAAAATTATTGTACCAACTGAACCACAGTTAGGATTTAAACCAAGCTTGCTTGGGGGAATTCAAATCAGAAAAGGTATGACGTTCTTTTTGCTGATTAATTTAAGATAAGAGTCTCACAGACCTTCCTGCCTAGACTGGCCTTGAACCTTGATCCTCAGGTCTCAGCCTCCTGAGTAGTTAGGGTTATAGGCTTGAGCCACTGACACCCCAGGCAGACTAAAGTTCTTATTGGCTTATAGACATAGAGCTAGTGGACTTAGTAATAAAGGTCATGGGTCTAGAATTCTAGGCCTGAGCACTGTCCCTGAGCTCTTCAGCTTAAGGCAACCACTTTACCATTTGAGCCACAGCGCTACTTCCAGCTTTTTCTGTTTTTGTGGTGCTGAGGAATCGAACCCAGGGCCTCACGCACGCGAGGCAAGCACTCTACCACTGAGCCACCTTCCCAGCCCCAAAAAGTTATTTAACCCAAGCTGGGTGTGAATGGTTACCACTCAGATGCCTGTAATCCTAGCAACTCCACAGGCTGAGATCTGAGGCCATGAGACTCTTATCTCTGATTAACAATCAAATGGCTGGAAGTAGGTATAGCTAAAGTGGTAAAGCACTAGCTCTACCATTGAAATGGTCATGGATAGCGACCAGGTCCTGAGTTCAAGTCTCATATGGATAGTACATTGGGCCAAGACTTACACAACATGCATGGACTGGCTTCCATTTTGCTCATCTTCTAAAACCCTTGGGGTGGAGTCATTCTCCCAATATGGCTTCCTCTCGCTTCCATTCCTATTCATCTAAAAGAATACTATGGCATGCATGGATGGGACTCAACTGATTGTGGTTTGCCCTATGAAGTGGTACCCACAGATACAGCCAACACTGTATACATCAATCCCTAACTTCACCCACTCAGCTGTCTGCCTCTAAAGGTGGCGAGATTTACACACGCACCTGTGATGTGGGAATGCAAAGATAAGTCTGACTTCTTGTCTTTGATCTTCCAGTGAGAATACCTGGTAGAGAGAAGCTGAGAAGGTCTTCTTTTTTCGACTGGGTCTTCTGGAACAAATAGGACTGTAGCTTAGGGTGAGCCCCAACAGAGAGATCCTGTCACCCCAGGGAACAGAGCTTTTTTTTTTTTTTTTCTTTCTCATCCTAAGAATTGTTGCAGTTTTTCAGAGTAGCAGAACTCCAGGACAAGTACAGGCTGCTCATATCCCATGAAGTAGTTCGAGGTCAAGAGTCGGTTTGTACCTTAGTTCTTTGGGACAGTGAAAGTTCCAAGAGACAAAAATGTTAAAACTTGACAAGTTTTCTCATATGATTAGGGAAAGGCTGACAGGAGAAAATATATACAAAAAATAAAAACCCTTCAGAATGAGATTGTAGGTGCTGGGAAAAAGAATGAGTATTCAAAGGTATACTTTTGGGGAAAAAATATAATGGACAAAATTTGACCTTGGCATTTCCCCACATTCCTTTGGCATACCAACCATCTCCTGGCCAGCAATGCCACTCTAGTGGAGTTTCCTTCCCTAAGCCTTTCCCGTAGGCTGGCTAGAGGAGGCCTGCCAATCTCTCTAGAGCTACCCACGATCACTCTCACTGGTCAGCAATCAGGTTGGTTTTCCTAGGACAGCAAAGTGCAAACAAGGGGCATCTTGTGAAGATGATTCTTCATTGGCTTTCCCTAGAGTTTGTTCGGGAGTGCACCTTTATCGGTTAACAATGCTTATTAAAGGCTGGGCATGGTGGTGCATGCTTGTAATCCCAACTGCTCAGGAGGCAGAGATAGGCAAAACATGGTTCCATGTCAGCCTGGAAAAGTTTGGACAAAGTTATCATGGGGCCCTCTTCGTACAAGAAACTAAGCTGGGTGTCAGTGGCTCATACCTGTAATCC